TTCGTTTATTGTCGTCTTGTAAACGACAGTATTTTATTGTAAAAAATTTCCGAAGAATACTAATAGTTAGTTAATCCAAACAAAAAAAATGAATTTTTACAAGTTAACCTTAGACTGCTGAGCGACATTAACATTCCATTCGTTAACGCTGTTCGTTAAAACTTCGACTGTTACCACAATGCACATTGCTGAAAAAAAAAAAAAAAACAGGTTTGTTCAATTCAAAAATTTATTTTATTTTTATTCTAACCTATTGTTATTTAAACCATATAAAATTGAATTTTTAAAATATTGCAAAAAATTTACTACTCAGTTTTATTAGGAAAAAAAACTATGCAGTAAAATTTACCGATTACAATATGAAGACATGCCACAAGTCTTTTGTAGATGTATCGATGATGAAAAAATGTATAGAACGCTAATGCATTGTTTGATACCATCAAAATTAAGGCAATTAAGCTAAATGCCATCTGTGTGCGATAATAATCTGAAATTTTTTTTTCAATTTTTTATACAGCGTAATTTTTTGTAGAAGTCAATTAGTCAAGTTAGCAACACTTCTTGAATTTTATTTTATTTGCATGTCTGAAACAGAATTACAGAAAAATTTTTTGCTCAATTACTTAGCGACATTAAAATTTTGTGTTTATTCTTAGACAGGATATCAGCAAGTTTTTTTCTAGGTAATTAGTTGTTAAACTTATAGCGTATCTAAGTTACGTCAGATGTTCTTCATTTTAATAGTATCTTTTCAGGTGTTGTATTAGAGAGCTGTTTTTTTGTAGTGTTTGTAGAATGATACAGTGATATATTGTTGAAAAATTAACTTGCAGATAGCAGTGCAAAAAATTAGCAATCAAAAAACTATTGTTCAACAACATAAATAGTATATATTTTAAGGAAAAGAAGAAAAAAAAACATACGTTTTAATCCAATACCCGCTAATCTTTCAACGTTACTAGGAATATGTGGAAAGTGCGGAATCCATTCGGCTAAAAGTAGAGAGAAGAATCAACAAGAAACGAAAAGCTTTTTTAAAAGAAATGTATTAATTTTTTTGAGATTTAAAATTATTAGCCAACTATAAATCACAAACGACGAAAAACGATTAATTTTAAGAAAAAAAAAGAACAGAACAACAACAAAAAAAAACATACTACTGCTATATTTATCAAAGGCAAATTTTTTTGTCATGTCATTACATTACCAATAGCATCAG